CGGTGAATATTTTTGTAATTTTTGGTAAAAAGTGATATTTTCGACTTCTTGTTGAAAACCGCAAGTCCAATTGCTTTGATATTACATATATAGGTACTACATGTGAACCTCTCTCAGATTTGTTCATTTCATGATGATATCTTTAATTCTCTAATTTTGATGAATATTTTTGTAATTTTTGGTAAAAAGTGATATTTTCGACTTCTTGTTGAAAACCGCAAGTCCAATTGCTTTGATATATTATACATATAGGTACTACATGTGGACCTCTCTCAAATTTGTTCATTTTCTAATGATATCTTCTGTTCTTTAATTGCCATGTGCATTGCTAACAGCGGAGCTATCTCAGCCGACAGGCTGCTTGTTATTGTTATTTAATTGTTATTTTCTAATATCATGCTTTTATTTTTTTATTTTTCATCTTAAGACCTTAGAAATATGCATGTTTTTTTTCAGCGTGTACAGTTGAGTTTTCTAATTATTCATCTTTCATGTCATCATTCAAACAACATTCTTTCCATTAGCAAGGAAGCAGCTCAGCTCATCTCATACTCTGACAAGTTAAATTTTTATGTCCAGCTTGGGTTGGGAAAGAACCATCTCCATTATCCATAGTAAATATTCAGACAGAAATGTTTGCCTTGGGAAAAGAGAAAGAGATGCTATTCTTTTTACTTCATTGGGGACGACAAAAATGCTTATGAAAATTTTTTCTAGCAAGAAAAGAGCGAGTCTACCGTTGCACATTGTTGGACTAACATTGGTATTCAAATAAGAAATCTTTTGATTGTGGAAAGGTGAAATGCCAAATTGTCAAAAAAAAATCGACAAAAATGTATGTGTTGGTTATTTATTGCCAGCCTCCAAACAAGATTGTGACAGTCTTTGTAACAGTCAGTTATGACGATTTGAATCTTGCTTATTGATGTGGAAACATGTTTATAGTATAGTAGTACTGACATTACTTGTTATAAATATGAAATGAGGGAAAAAACTCATTGTTTCTGCTTTTTTGTCTTGACAGTGTTCAACCCCAAGAAAGCCTATGCAACTGGCCGTGGTATACAGCCAAAGGGTATCCGAGCAAATGAGGATGCAGTGTTTACAGTACACACTAAAGATGCAGGAGAAGCTGAACTAAGAATTCAAATCATTGGTCCAGGTAGACTTCTAGACATTGCAGTTGCTAACAATGTGTGATTCTCATCTTAGCTCATCTACAGTAGAACTAACTTACATATATCTAGTAATAGCAAATAATCATCTAGTTCTGCACGCCATTACAACCTTTTAGATTCACTCAGAAAAGATTTAAATAAATGAAATGTCATAGAAAATAGCACTGCTATTCATATATTACTTGCAATACAGCCAACTTAAATTATTTGACAAATTTCATTCATTTTCTGCACGTGTGTTCAATTATTTTAATTTAATCACAGAATGTTTAAATAATTATTAAAAACACCTTCTAACTGTGAGGTATTTGATTGATTACTACAGTATTATTATTTGTCCATGTATTAAAACTTTTACTGATGATCTGATTCAGAGACCGCATATATATCAAGAACTTTTTAATTAAATAATTCCAGTATGGTGTATGTATTTGTTTGGATCTGTGATAATTTGACCAATATTTAATATTAACGTGATGATATTGTACTAGCTAAGAATTGTGCGTATATATATTTTTTTTTGAAAGCTGTGTCAGCCATTTTCTTTCAGACATGTTGATATGGTGATTTCTCCTTTGCTCATGTTGCCCCTTGGTCTTATATTTCAGTATAATAATAAAACAATCTAAAATGACCCTGAGTTAGTCTGAATAGTGGACGACTTCAAATCAAAAATATTTGTCAATAGCACTAAACCATAAAGAATTAGGATCAAACTTTGGAATTATTTTAGACAGAGAATCATTTTATGATAAAGTTGTTACTAACTGTTATGTTTGTTGTGTGCAGTGACCAACGATTTACAATACATTTCTTTAAATTCTTTATATGGTTATTATACCCAGAAGGTATTGTTGGTATAACAGCCATATAGAGGGTTTCATGATCATTCATTAACTTGTCATTCATAGATTGGTAGTGATATTAGATGCTTGCTTGTAAAATGCCAAGACCTGATTGATTTGAATTATAGACAGGTTGAAATGCTAGGATTGATACTTTTATGTCATATGCTTGAATATTCAGGTGGTATTAATGAACCAGTTCAAATTGTTAACAATCAAGACGGTACTTACACTATCACATACCGCCCAATGAAACCAGGTCGTTATATTATCAATATCACCTATGGTAAAGAACACGTTTCAAAGAGTCCATTCACAGTAACTGTTGGGCCACAGGCTGAGGCTCCTGTATCATATGTCAAAGCATATGGTCCTGGATTGGAGAGTGGAGTGGTTGGATTCCCATGTGTTTTCACTGTAGAAACCAATGGTGCTGTAGGTGCTTTAGGTAAGTAACGGTAGATTATTAATACACAGTGTGATTGACTAAAGAGGGGTTGGGTGTTGTGGTGTCCTTCCCCATAATCTTGTAACTGTATTGTACTGAAAGACGGTGTTCTTATTGCTGTGATGCTATGCAATGAATTCTGGTGTCGGTCTAGGAACTTCACTGATGTGATGCTATGCAATGAATTCTGGTGTCGGTCTAGGAACTTCACTGATGTGATGCAGTGGATTGTATTCTGTTGACGGTGTTGAGATTGAAATATTAATTTTTATGTATTCTCTTTCAGGATTCTCTATTGAAGGGCCATCTGAAGCTGAGATAAAATGTGTAGATAATGGAGATGGTTCTTGTGAAGTTTCTTATTTCCCAACCCAAGCTGGAGAATATGCCATACATGTCACTTGTGATGATGAAGATATCGTCTATAGTCCATTCATGGCACAGATTATACCTAACCCTGGTGGATTTGATGCGTCTAAAGTAGGTCACACTAACTAAATTCACATGAACATGTAACATTCACTAGCAAAATCCTGAACTTAAGGCCAGTAAATATGCTCAAAATATAGAAATAGTGAAATTAAAGTAATGTGTCTCAGCTGGTTTGACTGTTCCAATCAACTTTCCAATTGTGTGCATTTCAGGTCAAAGCATTTGGTAAAGGCATAGAAAAAGATGGACCACAGTTGAACCAACCTGTTGAGTTTATCATTGACACAAGAGCTGCTGGACATGCTCCATTGAAGGTCAGCGTATGTGACCAGTATAGTAATGATATACCAGTTGAAATCAAGGACAACGGCGATGGTACATTTACTTGTATCTACACTGCACCCAGACCAGTTAAACACACCGTAAATGTTACATTTGGTGCAGTTGCTATTCCAAACAGTCCCTTCAGAGTAGAAATTAGCGGTGGCGCTGAGAAAGTTAAAGTATATGGTCCTGGCATTGAACCAGAGAAGGTGATATCCACAGAAACTACTACATTTACTGTTGATGTCACAGAAGCTGGTGGACCAGGTATGTGTAAACACAGAATAATACCATTATTAGCCTGAGTTGATGTGCTTCCTTGGAGAACAGCAGTCTTTTACTGTTCAATAGGTGTTTCACAAAACAAGGTTTTATCGTCATTGATGTAATTTGGATTTACTAACTTCTGTATAACTTATGATACAAATTTCAGGGAATTTTATTGCTTTATATGTTGTGTACTTGGTTGAGCTTCCCTCTATCTTGTACACTCTGACCAAGCTTTCTTTATTTATGTACACTGTAGCTGCGAAAATGTGAATAGAGTACTCACAAAAATCAACAATTTAAAATGGCACAGTTTTTACATGAATTGTTTACATAACATGGGACTGTTTGTACTCTAATGGTATTTTTAAACTTTCAACATTGACATGCCTATTTTTATATTTTGCGTCATAATTAGGTCCTATTTATGTGGCTGTTAAGTCGGCTCCTGGTGTGAATGGCAAAGAAGAGAAAGAAATCAAATCAAATATCAAAGACAATAAAGATGGCACATACACAATCACTTACACACCAGAGGCTCCTGGAAAATATGCTGTTGCTGTTGGTTACCATGGCAAACCAATCCCACAGAGCCCCATCTATCTGGATGTACAGCCTAAGATTGATCTTAGTAAAGTGTATATAGATGGACTGGAAGAGAGTAAGTGGTTTTTGTCTTCAGATCCAATGGTGTAGGGCGCCCTCTATTGATGTATTTCTCATATTGCCAATAGAGGGGGCACTATTCCAAGATTGTGGTTTTTAGCTGGCATGTGTATAACTTGTCTATTAGATCAGGGAACAAAAAAAAGTATTGTTTCTCATGCTCAGGGGCAAAAAAAGAAAAGGATGTGATAATTTTGTTTTTTTTTTGTATTTTTTAATACTTTCACATTAAGATGTGTTCAATGTTTAATATGCATCTAATAATGCTTTTGAATATATGCATAAATGGTTTAATTGGATAGAAAAAACATACTCTAAAACTGAAGACAAACGTATCCCAGTACTTTACCAGTTCTCAAAATTGCACGCGATGGCCAGAAGCAAAACCTTTTTGTTGTTGTTGGCTTTATACCAATAGTTAACAGTATTAATTTAGAATTTTTGTGAATAGCTTGCTAGCGGAATAAAATGTGACAAGTTAATTTGTAACATTTTGATTCAACCAAATTTTTCTATTTGAAAGAACCTAATTGTGTTGTTGTCCTAGATTTTGCATTTCAATTGAAGTAAAAGCCCATCTTTGTTTTCAGTACAATTTGTATGCGCATTATGTCATAGTGTAGTTGTACAGTTTTAATTATTGTTTCCATACATTGTATATGATTTGGCGTTTTTACAGAAGTAACAGTTAACCAAGTTGTTGAGTTTGACGTAATTACATCAGGAGCTGGTGAAGCACCCCTCAAATGCTCCATCAAGGCTCCATCTGGAGTCTACACTGAAGTAATTGTAGATGAAACCGTTGATGGATATGGAGTCAGTTTCACACCCACCGAAGAAGGAGAGTACGTGATTGAGATTACTTTTGCCAACAAACCTATTAACAAGAGTCCATTCAAGACCGTAGCTGTTCCAGGAGCTGACCCAACCAAGTGCAGAGCTTATGGTCCTGGGCTTAAAGGATCCCATGTTAAAATTCCAGCTAATTTCACTATTGAGACTGGTAAAGCTGGTACTGGTGCTCTTGGTGTTACAATTGAAGGCCCCAGTGAAGCTAAGATTGATTGTAAAGACAACGGCGATGGTTCATGCTCAGCGAGCTACGTTGCTAATGATATTGGTGTCTATAATGTCAATATCACGTTTGCTGATCAACACATACCTGGTTCTCCATTCAAAGCCAAGGTGTTTGATGCTTCTAAGGTAGTTGCTACTGGTCCTGGTTTGGAAATGGCCAGAGCTAATGAGCCAGCTGATGTGGACATTGACACTACAAAGGCAGGTGCAGTACCTTCTGATCTAGGAGAAGCACCCCTGACTTGTAGTGTTCTCAGTCCTACTAATCAGCCAATTAGTTGCGACATTGATGACAACAAAGATGGTACCTTTGATGCCTCGTACTACCCTAAGGAACTTGGTCCCCACACTGTTGATATCCGTTATGGTGGATACCCCATACCTAAGACACCAATAAAGGTCCCTGTAAAGCCAGCAATTGACGTCAGCAAAATCAATGTATATGGATCTGGTATTGAACCAAAGGGTAAATTATGTGAATTGTTTGAGTGTGCCTGTAGTTTTAGTAGCTTAGACTATTTGTAGATTTATTGCTTTGACTACTAATATTTGCATAATAAAATCTGCATACTGGAACCATCTAACCCCCATTTCTTTGCTTCATCTTCACTTCTATCATTATGAAGGTGGATCCACTCATTCTCTGTGATTAGTTTTTATCAATTAACATTACAATTTATAATAGTATTAGGCTTGACTAAATTATTCCCAGCTTGATTCTCCATGCACCTTTTGAATTACCGGTACTCAAGAAACTTCTAAACACTAAAAATGAATTTTCATTATTACTGGGTATAACCACACCTGCCACTGAAACAATCTTTAGAGAATCAAAGATATAAATTGGCATGTACCTCAGTAAATTCCTCTTCATTGTTAGATCACTATCACACAGATGGTTTCTCTATGTCCACACGCATCTTCTCAATAGCTCTTTAAAAAATATATACATTGACACAGCAAGTTACATGTCAAAAAATTGCTACTTCACGAAAGGCACTAAGTGAATTTGCTTTTATTGGTTTTTGCTCTGTAACAAAAAAATTCTTTGCAGAGATTCTTGCCTGCTATCCGTTACTGTGACAACAAGCAGCAAGTTACTAATCATAATACGCAGAAAAAATGCACAAACATTATTATTATTAATATTAGTTCTTCTTCTGATATTTACTAATATGTTTTATATTTTTTATTATTAAATGCTTTCAGTGTGGTGTTTTTCATGTCAGTGTGACAATAACCATTAATACATTACTAAACAAGGGTTGGTAAGTCAAAGGGTTTACTTCTAATGTCTCATGAAAACACAACTGCCAATTCATATTTGAAACAAACTCTTATACAAAGCAGATAAATTTCATCTGATGAGACATTAAAATCCCTTGGTTACATACTCTTGTAAGTTGGTTGTATCTTAATATTTCAACCATTTGATAAAGTCATTATGTATTAGTTTCATTTTCGCTCCTTTATGTATATTTACCCATGATTTGTCATTCAAAACTCGTTTTGTCAATTCAAAATCATGTGATGACCATAGCTATCCATTCACATCAAATAACATTGTTTCTGAAACAAATAATTTATTCCAGTTTACACTCAAATTCCTCAAGTTTGTTTGTGTCTTGTGCTGAACAATCGATCTCTGTATGACCAGCACTATAGTGACCATTTGCTCCATTGTCTAACCATGCCTGGTCAATGATTGGTCAATGACAGATAAATGGGGAATTTGTGTGCAGCTAATCTATATCTCTTAGTACATGGAAGTGTGCGGTTCCTAATGTCATCATAAATATCCATAATTGCAATATGGACCAGAAAATGTACTATTTAGTATTGCTGTTTGATACTTCACATTGATAAAGTCATCGGACAATGATTTATCATGAACTACGCTGTTCTCGTAGCACACATCAGAATGTTTGTTAGGTGAAACACTGAAATATGCATATGCATTGGTTGTTTTTGTACATACAATAACAATCACATATCTATTAGTATTTTTTATTTTCATCTATATGAATACTGTTGTGTTAGTTTATGATAACATAGTCGATTTTAGTCTACATTATGGAGTATTGAATAACAATATTAAAAAAATTAATGTTTTCTTTCATATTGCATCATTAACACTGAACTAGCACTTCCCAAGACGGCCAATATTTGTGGATTTTTTTGTTTTTGTATAAATCATCTCTTTCTATTTGCTATTGTAGGAGTGTTTTTAGATTCGACTGCAGAGTTCACCGTGGATGCCAAGGGTATCGGTGGATTACCAGAGGATGCATTAAAGTGTGCCGTTACAAATCCATTTGGTAATAAACTAGAGACCGCTATTAAGGATAATAAAGATGGAACATACAATGTTAGCTATGCACCGTTTGAAGAAGGTTTGTTGCTAACAACTATTATCTCTCATGTCTGGATAACACAAAAGCAGATTGCTTTTATATTCTATGAGGATCATGTACAGTTGACATGCTTTGACCAATTGCATTCAAACTTTATACATGTATCATAAATGTACATCATGTCGCTCATATTCATTTGACAACCTGTTTCAAGCTGGCCGAATTGGGGCCATTTAAATATTAAAAATACATCTAATCAATCCATCTTGGAACCGGATCTTTGTTGTGTATGGATGTGTTTCATTCAAATTTAGTATATAGATAAGACACGGTTGCACCTTAATGCATGTCATTTTGTTCTTCATATAGAATTCAAATTGGCTGACTGACAGACATTTTGTTTTTAAAGAATGCTGTTTCGAGCTATAAACTCTGACATGCCTTTACTGATTGCAAATAAATATTATTTACAACTTGTCGCACATATTAACTGGCTGATTTATTCAGTTTAGTTTACTATTGAAGAGCAGGAATTCTGTCATGTTATGATAATTACTTGTTATATATTTATATGCCCAAATATGGGGTTTGCACCAGGTGATCAATTACTCTTAGTTAAAAATGACCATATTCTTTTCACAAATAAAAATCTAATTCTTGCATAAACTTAGAAAGCACTACAAATCTTTGGCTGGAATGAAAATCAAAAGAAGAGATTATTGCTTACTGGTTTTTCTACATTTCTTGCTTATTTCAGTTCTGAATGCTCTTACATACTCTATTGTACACTTTATCAGAGAATATGTTATTTACAGTACATTTATTATTATTTATATTAGGTATACATAAAGTTGATGTTGAGGTTGCCAGTAAACCAGTTGGTAAATCACCATACAATGTAGGTGTTGTTAGAGGATCAAATGCTGCTAAGTGTAAAGCCTATGGTCCTGGCCTTGAAAGTGGAAACACTCATAAACCTTGCAACTTCACCGTGGAGACTAAAGGTGCTGGAACTGGTGGCTTGGGTTTGGCTGTGGAGGGCCCCAGTGAAGCCAAGATGACATGTAAAGACAACAAAGATGGCACATGTAGTGTGGAATACTGGCCAACTAAACCAGGCGACTATGAAATTCAAATCAAATTTGCTGATCAACATATACCAGGTAAATAACAACAGCAAAAAATCACGGGAAAAAGTGAAAACTGACTTAGCATTGAATAAAATATACTGGAAAACAAACAGAACAAAAAATGTACAAGGTTTTTTGGTTCAACCCTTCATCTTCCCACATTGTTTCTTGAACATGCCTGGACTACCGGTAGTTTTGTTCAATTTAGTTGGTACAAAGTAATGTTGTATTGATTAATTATGTAATTATGACAATTAGTTTTTCGTTTTGTTGGCCTTTTGGCTGACTGGTGAACCCAAATTTCCAAACTGAATATTGTGAGGTTTCTCCTGTCATATCAGCAGTGATGTTTCCTACTAAATGTCATAACTCTGAATAATACACCATGTCATGTGATAATAGTATAAAATGCTTTGTTTTGTTTACTTTGCAGGCAGTCCATTCCACTCGACCATAGAAGATATCGTAGATCCAACTAAAGTCAAAGCAAGTGGTCCTGGATTAGAACGTGCTGGTGTCAGAGCAGCTGCACCTGCTACATTTACAGTGGATGCCACAAAGGCTGGAGTGGCCCCATTAGATGTCACTGTCATCCCAGAAAAAGGTATTCTTTATTTATTGCATATCATTGGCATATTCCCTTGTTGCCTTTTTTTCCTTTCATGCATGGCAGATTAGATTTCCTTCATTTCTTGAGTCTGATCGTTTTCAGAAATAATTGGTTGTTCTAATTTGAAGCATCTTTGCAGCATTCAAAAAATGTGACAGTTGATAGATTTTTTTTTCGGTTTGAACTCAAAATGTCTGACTGGCAAACATTGTTTTTTAAATAAATGTATCTTTGATATGCCTGGACTGATTTAAACGTCATGCTGACATACAAGACAAACACACATGTGTTTCTGGTATCATTAAATAAAAAATGGATGACTGGTAGCCATCTTATTTAAACGATTGTAGTTCCCCAAAGCCATAACTCGTTCGTACACCTTAGTAGTCATGTGATATTTCATGCCTATGGTGACTATGTCATCGACAATGACTTGTTAGTATTGTCACATATTGACTGTACATGTATCCACTGTCTTGTAGGGCCTAAAGAGAAAGCTCAGATCAAGGACAATGGAGATGGTACATTTGAATGTACCTACTTACCACAACAAGAGGGCAAGTGTACTGTGGATGTCAAATATGCTGACCAACATATTCCACAAAGGTAAGACTTTTAACTGATTTCCTGTTGGAAACAACAATAGAAGATTTCCAGCTTCTGATGAGGTCTCACATGGAGCCTAATTTAGAACTTTCTGAATCGAATGGAAAAAGACACTTGAGCTGAGATTTCCTTCAGAATCAACTTTATATGAATAATAATATGAATAAATGTTAAACAAATAAAATTGTTGACTTAGTCAAAATGGAGTTATTACATTTTCACTTCTTTTTGAAAATGGCAAATCCACTTGTTTTGATACTCTGTACCTTGGGTGGACCTGCCTGGCTTAAAATTAAAAAAATTATTATTATTAGTCGCATGCTAGTGTCTGTTCGTACATTTATCCATGCGTGCATTTAATGCTATATCTTGGACACCCAAAAAGCAATTCTTTTAAACTTCACACAGAGTTTATTACCTTATATGGTACATATGCATGTGTGGTTATTCCATAATTCAGTTATGGTTGCACCAAATGCACCAAAATCAGATTTTGTGACAGGTCTTGAACCATATCTTGGGCATGTTGTCAGATTTTCTTCAAACTTGATAAAATGTGTAGTTGTTGGAAATTTTGCTCAAGATGGCCGACTGGCAGACATTTGAACAAATTCTATTCCAGACTTGTATCTCTTACTTACATGCCTTCACTTTCAAACTTGATAAATAAAGAGTACATCATGGCACATACAATAGTATGGTCATCTAATTATTATGGTTAACTGCTGATCATTTTACTTCTCAAAAAACATGTCCTGAACAAGATGATAAATGAGATGATATCTTTTTATTATGGTATAGACAATTAAAATTCCATCACGTCAGCCATGTATATGCACAGTAGATGCCAGAATTCAAATTCAAAAAACTCAAGGCCATGCAATTATGTATATGCATGTATTATAGTTGAAAACACTAATAATTATTTTGAATATTTTATATATTACTTTATAACAAACATAAACCAATATGATTGTGCATTGCAAAATGTTGACTGCTAAACAGATGATTTCTCTGCATGTGTACCTACTTTAGAATGTAACGTATGGCCAGTGATACAATCATTTACAGAATCTGGCAAGATATGGCAAGGTATTAAAAATGGTCTATTAACATTTTGTGGAATAAAATGATTGTTCACACATAATCATCAACAAAAAGCTATGGAAAATGTCATAGCTCTCACTTCTTGTAACTTGTATGACTCGTCTTAGGAGAACATACTATGGTCCATTACCTCATTCCTGCATTGATCATTACCTTATTCTTGCATTTTAGCCCATTCCATACCAAGATTCTTCCTTCTCATGATGCAAGCAAGGTCAAAGTTCGAGGCCCAGGATTGGAAAAAACTGGAATCCCTGCTAGTTTACCAATTGAATTCATTGTTGATACAAGGGATGCTGGTGATGCCGAACTCACTATCACCATCACTGTAAGTTGGCATTTTGAATTTCAACCCAAATATATTTTGTAAAATGTGATTTTTAGCTTGTCATGCAACTCGTTGGTTTCTGATTTGTTCATTGCATTGATATATGCTGTTAACTTTTGGTAAAAAATGCTAATTTTTATGTCTTCATTCTTTAAATGAAGGATGCTAATGGAAAGCACATCAAACCTGATATCATCGATAATGGCGATGGCACCTACAGAATTATCTATACACCGACAGATGTTGGTCGCTATACTATCACAGTGAAATACGGTGGTGACAATGTGCCTTACTCACCGATTCAAGTTCGCACTAGCCCCACTGGGGATGCCAGCAAGTGCCATATTGTCGGTAGGTCAATCAGTACTCTATCATCTTATATATATATCAGTTCGTGTTTGATGATGTTAATCAGTTTGAATTTGGAAAGGTTTTGGACTGATTATTGCAATTTTTTGTGTGTGTGTGGTATTACACTTTTGTTGACATAACCATGACACTTCGCTGACTGGCAAATGTGACTGTGAAGTGAGCCTTAAATGCATGGCATGATGCAAGTCTTTTTCTCCAATTGACCTTAACCTGATTGTCTAGAGTAAGTACCCGTTATGAGTGGGTCTTAACAACTAACAACGCCTAACTATATAGTTGTGTAACATTCATTTCAAATTTCAATGGTTGTGTTTCTTTGAATTAAGATTTACTTTGATCTTAACTTGTCTGTGACTTTTTTCATGTTGGTAATTCAAAAGTAAAGACAATTATGCTTTCTAGTGTTGATGTGTATAATGCTCCAATGACTTGAAATAATTAAACAAATCATGTAGATGCATCAGAAGTACAAGGGGGAATAGATGCTTAACATACTTTCCATTACATCAAACAAATACCTTGTAAATAATATCACCTGAGGGCCAATTTAAGATTGGATACAAATTATTTAAATTTATTGCAAGCACAAACACTTTATTCATGACAGAGATAAGATTATTTTGGTTCGGAGTTTTGTTGGTTAAAGCTTGAAACCTTGCATGCTTTCAGAATGTAAGTGTACATAAACTACCAAATGAAGACAATGTACTTTAAATTGGAACAGAGACCAACTTCACCTATAGCGGCTACATTTGCTCCATTTTTTTTTACACATATCTGCCTATATATAGCATGCTGGATAGTTGACTCAATGCAAGTTTGTGGTCACCCATTTTACAAAAATATAATGAGAGTACCGATATTGAGTCCTTATATATCCTAGACTAATTTTGATAATACTCTACTTTTAAAATTGCATTCAAATATACTGTTGAACAAGTGCATATGGTACACAAGGAAATTGTTCATATCAGCATTTGGTCTTTATGTGGAAATTGAAGGTAGAGAATAAATAAAAATGTGCTTGTTTTTTTGTTTTGTTTTTTTGTTAAATTGAAAATGTCCGTGTTGGAACTAATGTAAATTACTGAACATGCAATCACTTTCCATCATTGTGGCTTCATACAAGCAAGTTCACTGGCCACTATAGGCAGTTGGTCTTTATATACAGGTCACTTTACTGCCCAAAGGTGGTCACTTTAGGCAGGTGGTTTTTGTGGGATCTTTATATACAGGTCACTTTACTGCCCAAAGGTGGTCACTTTAGGCAGGTGGTTTTTGTGGGATCTTTATATACAGGTTACTTCACTGCCCAAAAGTGATCACTTTTAGGCAGGTGGTTTTGTGGGATCTTTATATACAGGTCACTTTACTGCCCAAAGGTGGTCACTTTAGGCAGGTGGTTTTTGTGGGATCTTTATATACAGGTTACTTTTACTGCCCAAAGGTGGTCACTTTAGGCAGGTGGTTTTTGTGGGATCTTTATATACAGGTTACTTTACTGCCCAAAGGTGGTCACTTTAGGCAGGTGGTTTTTGTGGGATCTTTATATACAGGTCACTTCACTGCCCAAAAGTGATCACTTTTAGGCAGGTGGTTTTTGTGGGATCTTTATATACAGGTCACTTTACTGCCCAAAGGTGGTCACTTTAGGCAGGTGGTTTTTGTGGGATCTTTAAATACAGGTTACTTTACTGCCCAAAGGTGGTCACTTTAGGCAGGTGGTTTTTGTGGGATCTTTATATACAGGTTACTTCACTGCCCAAAGGTGGTGACTTTAGGCAGGTGGTTTTTGTGGGATCTTTATATACAGGTTACTTTACTGCCCAAAGGTGGTCACTATAGGCAGGTATTCTTTATATACAGATAAATGTAATTTGCACCAATATCTGCTCTAAACTTTTCACAACAAATGAATTTGAATATATCTTCACTGTTGGCTAACTTTCAATCTTTACTTATGGCACTTGTACATAGCTCACAGTAACCAATATAGGAATGTTAGCTAACTTTCTATCTGTATAAAAAATGTTTTAGAAACAAAATATCTATGAAAATAATAATGAGTTGCAGATAATCCTTAGTTGGTCAGATTGGAACGCCAAAATTATTTACTTTTTTGCGAAAGTTTTGGTGTGATTTGGATAACACTAGAATAGTTTCCATTTTTCACATGATCACACATCTCCACATGAAAATCCAAAGAATGTCATTTTATAAACAATTTCACACATTATTGTAACAACAAAATACCTTACAAATTAGTCAGCCACTCAGAAGAGAATTTCACGGTGATTTATTTAGTTGGCACTATTGATAAACTAATTGTGTTTACTCACTTTTTTAAAAGTTTATAAAACTTGTGTGAATGATTAGACTGCCATCTTGTGACCACTCTATAAATTTCTTTGTTTTTTCACTTGATCTGACATCTTTTAACTCAAGATGGTATGTCATCATAAATATATATCAGATGCCAAAATATCCCATGATTGAAGACACCCTCTTTCCCTTTAAATTGAAACTGTAGCTTGCTTGCTCAAATTTCAATCATTCCTAAAGCAATTGTTATGGCATTCTGTTAATAAGTGCTCAGACATCATAGTATCAGATTATTTGCATGTCTAATTTGAAACTCCATCATTTCATGCTGCAGTTCACCATAAAGTTGCATCCATCATTATATTATGTAAAGAGAATCACAAAAAAATAAGTTCTTGATACTAAAATTGCCATTTGCATTTACAGGTTTTTTTCTTTGACTTAAGACACCCCTTCCCAAAGTCTGCCCCCTCATGTACGTGTACCCCCATTTACCACTGTTCCATTTTTCAGGTGTTAAATGTGGTGATGTGGATATTCCTATTGTCAGGCAAATGAGCACAGCATCTGACCAAGGCTCTGTGTCATCCTATTCTTCCACTTCTACTACAACAACTACCACAACCACAACAAGTAAGAGGAGAAAGCCATTCCACTCCATCTCACTTCAAGAGAACCTTTCTCAGTTTCTCTTTCTGTGCTTTTTTTTCTAAACTTGCCCCTTGTTGTGTGTCTTTATTTTATACTCATTTTTCATCCTATCCCATCTATTCTAACCTACATCATGTTGTTTTCCAGACCACACCATCGTCAGTTGCTATGACAACCAATCTGTCTTTTCATCTCGTGTTATCCTAGTTTAACAACTGACGTTATCCACTGCAGTGCTAATACTAACCAGTTTAATTACAGACCTGCATGCCTCACCGATGGAATCCTCTGCGTGTATTTTTTTTATAATATTATTGAACTAACAGCATGTCTGGCTAGAATATTTTACTACAGGTTGCCATGGAAATGACTCAAGTTACTTTGACTACAGGCACTTTTTACATACATATTTTGCTTTTTTTCTGTAACTTTTTTCCCTCAAAAGTTTATGTAACTTTGAGGTGACAGAGATTCCCTCCTGAGTCTAGTTTTAAACGAAATACATTACTTATAAATTATTTGCTTTTCTTAGGCTGAGCATTTCATATTTCTCTTGCAGTCATCTAAGAAAAAAAAATGAGTGAACTGCAGACAATGTAATTTTTTATTGCTCTAGTAAATGCCCTTTCTGGAGTAATAATTTGTAGTATGTATTGTATGACAACTGCAAACTTGTCTACCAACTACTCAGAAGGGACTCAGCAATGTATTGTGATAACTAACACATATCTTGTTTCAAATGTTTTTTTTTTAAAAACTGCTTTCCTACCCTACTTAGTTGTTCTTGTCGTAGATGTATGTCTTTATCTCACCAATTTTATGTACTGCATGTTCAATCTATTAAATACAGCATGTTAAATTAATTGGGTCGGCACCTGTTAGTTAGAGCAGTCATTCATCCAAGTCATCGTTTCCAATCCTTTTGCCATGTTGAATAGCTGCGTACTCTAAAGTATTTGTCTTACCATCCTTTTATGCCAAGAATGTACCCTCGAAGTACTGTCTGTGTTCATACTCAGTGAACCTCTCTATATTGGAGGGGGATATATAGTTCATATTTATTTACTATCTATATGATGATTTATTTAGTCACCTCATCTTTTTCGTGTCTTTCGTTGTTAGTTTTAAATTAGTATCGAGGGGTTATACATATTTTTTTTTTAATATTCTGTTTACTGGTATTTATGGAACTCCTACATATTTCTTGTGTCTATGCTGTTATTCCTATATATACGGAGGGCCTATTGCGTTTACAGTGTTGTAGCATGCATGGATTCTTTTCTGATAAAGACATTTTAATCTAATTTCACAGGAGAAACAATCACAAAGACTGTCACTGTGCATGAGGAGACCATCATCAAGGTGAACTCTGAAGATGCTGGTAAAGGGCATGTCACTGCCACGGTTACTGCACCTGATGGTACTGATGTGGGCGATGTTAAAGTGGTTGATAATGGTGATGGTACATTTGATATTGTATGGACATGTCCAGCCTCTGGTCGGTATACTTTAGACATCAAGTTTGGTGGTGTTGCAATCACTGGTGGTCCATTCAGAGTTGTGGTGAGTCATGAATTCTTGCAAAAAACAACTTTTATGTTTCTGTATTTTTGTCTGTAGTATGCTTGTGTGTATATATTATGAACTTATATATTATGGCTTCTAAGAACAACGATATCAAATTTGGTTGTTTGTATGAATGCTGGTGAATTGTGTAAAAGAATGATGTAATTGTATAACAACTATATAGAGATGGTTGCTAGATTCGTGATTGTGTCATACACAAAGTATGAAGTGTCATGAATTATGACTAGTATGTGTGATTAGGTGCATTGTCATGCAGTCATGGTAATGTAGACTGGCTACATTGCAATAGCCATCACTCATGTATACAGTTCAAATAATAATACTAAAATAATAAAACTGTTTAATTATGGGCCATCTAAATTTATCAGTAGTTAGATCAATTATCTGTTGATATCTGAACCATGGCATAGATCTTCAGAATGCCTTCTATGTAATGCTGGGGCCTCTCTGTATTTTATTGTTTTCATGATGTACATATTGCTGACAGCTGAATATCTCTCTAACTCTAATCTTAAGCTACTGTTTCCATCTTCATTACATGAATTCCTTGATTATGTTAGAAGCTTGTTGCAAATCAATCATGCAACAGGGAAACATTTCTTGACCTGTGACCCCCTTCCCCACACACATGCACACACACACACACACACCAAATCTTTGGGTGGGGTGGGAGGTGTTGGGTTTTATTAGAGGATGTGTATTCACTCTGTCTTTTTCAAGGTTATATTGGCCAATGTGGTTAATTTTGAATTAAAAATGGGTATTTATTTCCTACATCAAAGTAATGATCTATTTTCTGTTTGTACTCTGGCATCCAATCTATGGCCCATTTGTTGACACGGCTGTGTAAATAGCAGAAGTTAGGTAACCCAATTCATGGATTGGGCAAACATGTTATCACGTACCTAACAACAATAATAATTTTGTAGTGACAAAGTTCAGGTTTTTTACATTGTATTGATAAAACCAAAATGGCTCGAAGACACACATACTATTTGTTATTTTTGACAAATCCCGATGAACAGCAGCCCCCAGCTGTTGCTCCCTCATTGCCATCTGTCAAAGTTCAGTCACGGATCGCTAAATTGAGGAAGAAATTTCAAAAATATGTGAGTATGACTTTTAACGTGCTGGTTTATTACAACAGAGATTAAACTTAGTTCCGTTGATTGACACAAAATTCAAAGACTGAAATTTGTATTGAAATGCAGGTAATTACTAGAAAATGTTATGAGCTTAGTTTGGAAGTAATAAACTTTGTTTGTTTGTAACCAACCTAATGTATGATTAGCCAAGTCATTTTGCCTTATTCCAATGGCTTTAATATATCTTGTACAAATGTATGTAAAGCTGTATGTAATTCTTACAGGTAACTGTAAAACGTGTTGAAATTGCTGTATGTACATGTAAATTTAGCAAATTTGACTCAACTCACCAGAATCTCAATTTAGCTTAATCAGTGTCAACAAGCTCATTGTAAGAATATCTTTTCTGTTAAATCAACTACATCTTGAATTAGCAAAATTGCAGATTAGCTAAATTAGCTAAAACAATGTGCTAGCTAAAAAGACACATTGTACAGTAATTATTATTACATAAATACTCTGTTCAATCAGTGCATATTATCTAATACATTAGTGATTTGATAGTTCTACTTCCTGGTTTAGTGTCTCGCAGTGGTAATCATTAACATGTATTCTTTTATGGTAAAATTGATACAAGACTTGTTCTTATAAACAAACAATAACTCTGACAAGTAAATTAAATTAATTCACAAGTGAATCAGGAATAAATCTTGCTGTTAGCCTGAAAACAAAGGAATAAAGGGAAACTTTGCCTATGGTGGTTGTATTGTTGTTGTTAATACTTTACTTGACTGACTTAGCATTTAGTTTTTATGGGTGGGCACTTAAGCACTCAAGCACCACCACTTCCCCACCATCTCCCATCCCCATGAAAAATTATCCAAATGACCAATTATCCAAATTTTCATTCACCATGTGCCAGATATTACATTACACCCCTTTGATGACAAAATTTCGAAATTGATTTCGACAACACTTTTACAAAACCAACAAATGTTCTCAATCAAATAAACACATTTTACTACAATATTATTTAAATATCATAAAAATTTATGGTGTAAAATTTATTATGGTCTTTTGGAAAACCATTGAAGTCAAGATCTTTATCTTGGTTGTCAGATGTTACGATCATACACAAACCTTTGCAAAGCAATTTTCAACATGTTGTTCTGCAGGTCTGTTATAAAGCAATCAGAATGCTGTGACATATTGAGGCAATTGTCCTGGAATTTCTAATTATTCATGATCTTCACAATGGACACTAATTATTTTAAAAAGTACAACAATGTTGCATGATCAGGTTTCATGACGTTACCGTCAAATTTGGGAGTTTCAGCAGGTGCGAGTGTTAAATCAAACTTAAATCCAGAAATAGAAAGTAGTGGGTGCTTAGTCAAGGATGGGTGCTTAGTCAACGATGGGTGCTAAATCAGTTGAGTACAGTTATTGATTATGTAGGTTCAATACCTTGAGTACCGAGTAGTTTTGATTCAAAGTATATCAAACGTTTTGTTGAGAAAGTTGTTGTTCAATCAGTTTTAAGTAGATGTGAATTATTGTTACCAATTGTGTGTTGCATTTCTTGTAAGCAAGTTCACTAGCAAGTTCAAAGCCCTGGGGACATTAGACATCACTAATAATTGCAAATCACCATAGTAACAACCATATAAACTGTGATGGGAAGAACTTAGTAATGACAATAATCTTTGATAGGTAATTTCTTGTTGAACACAGTATGTTCTTTAAAACTACCAGCCGATTTGCCTCAACACTTCAGATTTAATAGTTTGTTTCATGACAATTACTTAATTTTCTATTTTTGTCATTTTAGATAAAAAACAATCATATTTTTCACTTCTCTTGAAAACTGCCTTTCTATTTGCTTAGACAGGCTTCTATCAGATTTGTTTATTTCGTGATATATATTGAATTCTCTATTTTTAGTGATTTTTTTTTGTCATTTTAGCAAAAACTTCACGAATTCTGTAGATCACAATTGATAACAGCATTTTAAGCTACGCTGTCAACTTTGTCGAGCGGAGCTTATCATCTGAGTGATTGTCCGTCGTCGTCGTCCGTGTCAATGTTTTACTTTTTCGACTTCTTCTTGAAAACTACAAGCCTGAATGCTTTAATACTTGGTATATATGTACCTTGGGTAGACCTTTCTCAGATTTGTTCATTTTGTGATGATATCCTCAATTCTATAATTTTGGTGATTATTTTTGTCATTTTTGGTAAATAGTGATATTTTTGACTTCTTGCTAAAAACCGCAAGTCCAATTGCTTTGATATTACATATATAGATGCTACATGTGGACCTTTCTCAGATTTGTTCATTTCGTGATGATATCTTCAATTATCTAATTTTGATGAATATTTGTCATTTTTGGTAAAAAGTGATATTTTCGACTTCTTGTTGAAAACCGCAAGTCCAATTGCTTTGATATTACATATATGGGTACTACATGTGGACCTCTCTCACATTTGTTCATTTCATGATGATATCTTTAATTCTCTAATTTTGATGAATATTTTTTGTAATTTTTGGTAAAAAGTGATATTTTCGACTTCTTGTTGAAAACCGCAAATCCAATTGCTTTGATATATTATACATATAGGTACTACATGTGGACCTCTCTCAGATTTGTTCATTTTCTAATGATATCTTCTGTTCTTTAATTGCCATGTGCATTGCTAATAGCGGAGCTATCTCAGTCGACAGGCTGCTTGTTTTTTGATGTGTGAGGGCGCTCTACCTGAATTAGATGGACTCCCTCACAAGCACAATCCTAATTCCTGCTGTATGAAAGGATAAAATTCAATGTTCAGGGAAATCTGAAATAAAATTTTATAAGAATCTTTAATTTTCAATTTTTAGAAAATAATTTTTTTGTTTTTTTTTTGGTGGCCTACATCTGTTATTTTCTTGACAGCGACACTGGGGGCGCTGTTTATTGTAGTGTGTGTCAGCTACAAAGTTGATGGGAAAATAGTTTTATTCTACACAAAAATTGTAATATTAATGTGCGTTTGACTTAATTATGAAAATCATAAATTTCTCTCTTAGCTGGCATGAATTGGATACTCTATTGTGAAATATTCATTATTTTTTAACTTGTTGTCCCTAATTTCTTTTTTACTGTCATTCAAAGTGAGAGGCAAGAACACGGGGACTTCTGCTTATTATTGGACAGTATGCACAGTTTAAATTTGCTGAGAGAGTTGATTTGCTTGGCAAAAAATACATGCATAATCTCATCATAATAAGTAAACAAGTTTTATCCAAAATATGTTGCTAGTAAATGCCAATATATTTTAATTTGTTATTTTAATACTTGTGTGTAATGAAGTCTGGTATTGTCCTATTTTCTATTTGCTTCCTCTTCTGCTGTGTACATGTATGTTTACTGCCCTCTAGTGTCAAGAATTAGTATATACATTGTACAAATATTCAATCCGACAGAGGTGAACATGCAGTTTTAGCAACCCGAAGAGCTCATTGTCAATCAAAGCAAAGCAAATACAAGTTGAATTCAAGCAGTAATTGAATTTTATTTTGGATGCCTTTTTTACCTCCATAGTTTTATAAACACAATTTCAGCAGCTTCAGTCAGACAAAGAATTACTTATTACAAACACAACTAGTGCCACCTTGTGTGTTGCATTTTTTTTTTTAACAAATACACTATACTTTATATTTAGATATAGTGTCAAAACACACAAAATATGTGACAAACTCAACTCAACTCAACTCAACTCAACTCAACTCATCACAGCAGTGCCGTTCCATGGCTCTCTGAGAGAGCCAATTTTGTAAATGCAGATTGAATGTCAAAAAGCAGGTAGCGGAGAGCACTGGCCTAGACTCGCAAACTAACAATCACAAAA